AAAAAAAAAAAAAAAAAAAAGTAACAACTGCCAGTGAATTTGCCACCTAACCAAATTGAAACCTTACCACAGGGAGACAGACGCCCAAATTCATACTATCCATAAGAAAGTGCCTGAGAAAACAGACCTCGATAAACTGAAACCGTTGAAACAACGGGTTAGAAATAAACTGTTTAAGAAGAGAGAGGAGGGTACTGTTTCTTGAGGGTATGATAAAACTTGAGAAATAAATATTCAGAGGTATAAGCATCTGTAAATATTAGAAATTAAAATAAGAACTCAATATAAACAATAACAAAATCCTAAATTTTTTAATGAAACTGGTATTTTTCATTCAAGGGCTGCAAAGTAAGAAATTTCAGGAAAAAAGGTCAAAGAAAACCTCCCTTCTATATTTTCACATTGAAAAAAAGGATCTAAGATATGTTGGATTAAGCAATTTGAACTGCATTCATGGCTGCTTTGAATTCAGAATTAATTGTAGAACAACATGGTTTTAGTTCACTTATTGACTAAATTACCTTAAAATGCATTAGGCACTTACTGTTTCTTCTCTGTGTACAAATGATTACATTTGAACATCAAACAGCCCTGTATTCTCTATTAGAATGATGAACTATCATATCTATTAGAATGATGAACTGACATTCAGGAAGATTAATCATTTGCCCATAAAGGTAGAATAGGGATTGAATTCTCCTTGTTGGGTCCCAAAACTCGTATTTTTTCTACCTCTTTATGCTGAAGTATGTCAGGTACATCCCACGTAGAGTCAACAGATTGGAAGATATATTAGTCTGTAAGAGGGCGTTAGGTGGACATCAGTTTCTTCCAAAATCTGTTAGTACTCAGGTCTGCAATCCTCACCACATTCCCCTAATACTACCGTTTATCATGACTTTATCCTTGAGATAGTGTATGGTGTAGCATAATCAATCAGAATTTTTCAATACATTAGAACTCAGTGAGGAATAATACACAACTAATTTTGTCTACTCTGGATGTCAGAGTATTTATTGTCATGACAAATAGGGCTCATTTGACTTGAAGGCACATAGATGGATATATACAGTAATAAATAATGGGAGAAAATACACAGACATGATCTATAAATCGTATTTTAAACTTGGAATTTTTTGAAAGAAACAACAGTATCTGTAAAAATTAATAAATGCCTACTCCATAAAGAGAATTATGTACAGTTCATTATACATAAGTAGATGTATGTGTATTACATGTACATATTATATACATACATACACATATGTACATACAGGTACAATAAATTCTAAAAGATATACGAGGACTATATCAACCTTCAGATCATCCTGTCTATAGAACTAGTAACAATCCTAATCGGGTTGATCTAGGAAATAGATCAAATTCAAGTGGTGTTTTGATTTCACAACCTGGGGACCCTCCTCTGTGCCCCCACATTGTGTTGCCTTGTGCTGTCTTTTTTGCATGTCCACTTTTTTGGAGCCTTTACCAAATTCTTTATTGTTTGTCTATGTTTTACTAGCTCAAGTACAATCTTTAAGTAAAAAGTCTAATGGCCAATTTCCATTGAAGCCTTTCTGTGCTAGCCACCTGCCTTACTACTAATCATTTAGAATGGCTCTGTGATGTTATAGGTCCCTATCTCTCTAGTCTAAGCCCTCTATGTCAGTGGCATGTTGTTTTGGGTGTGTGTGTGTGTGTGTGCCCTTTCTGGACTAATGAGCGTTTTGTATTTTGGCCATAGGAGGAGCATTTTAAATACCTTTTGATGGGAAGAATGACTTGCTGCTTAGGATCTCAATGAAAGCATTGGCCATTCTGCAATATGGCATAATACTTCCTATTTGGAAACCATCGAACATCACCCTAGAATCTGTAATGAATGAGCATTGCTGTTAAATTACATCTTGCCCAATATTGCATAGATTGCCATAGAATTATGTATTTTACCTATCAATCTAGTTGAATTAAAAGGGTCTTAAGACTCTTGAGATTAAGTATTCTCCCCAAATCTGAATTTGGGGGGACAGCCCTGGAAGAGGGAATAGAAGAAAAATATTTTCCCTTTACTCTTCTATTTGGTTTCCCCCTTTGACAAGGTCCTAAAATTTCCCCATCCAAACTACTACATACCAGCTTCAGTAGAGAATAATCAGCACATCCACTGCTTTCAGCACCCAACTCTGAC